CCCGCACTTGGCCAGCGTGGTTGACTATGGCCTAGTCACCCCTTACTTAGGGTAGGCTCCGAGCCCCTTGGTGGGGACATATAGTGAGCTGGTGATGACAGCGTATGTTACCCAATGATAATATAGCTTTTTAATGATGCAAGTACTTTTAAAATCGGTCTAGTAGTTTTTGGGTTATTTAAATACATAAAAAAATCCAAAAATACAAATCTTTCTCTTTTTTAAATTAGTATATATAACTTACGTGGGGATTTTTTGTTCAATGTAGGATGTGGGTCGCTCAGGGTCGGTTGCAGATACTTCTTGACGGGGCTCTCCGGTCTGAAACATTAATAATTTCTACTGACTGGTCTAAAATGTTCTCTATACAAGTGTCTTGAACTCATTAAATATATGTCATTTTTGAATACCAACTATTAAAATAACCGACCTGGGCAAGGTAACGGAGGGCAAGCCGGGTCTCTTGAATTGCCCCTTTGTAGACGATCGCTTCGGCTGCGAGTCGAACGACGTACTTATATCTGTTTTGGGAAAATGGCAGTAGAAATAGTTACATCTATGTACTAAGTCACAAAATATGTGTGTTTTTGAAAATAACTCACTGGACATAATAGGTTGCGAGGTGGACTCTGTCATCTCCGTGCGGCCTGCATTAGTAACGGCCTGCAAAGTATATACATCTTTTAAATCATATTTCTTACTTATTACATTATAAATGCGAAAGTTTAGATGGATGGATGGATGTTTGTTAGAGTTTGTACCTCAAACGGCTTAAAGGATCTCGATGAAAATTGGCATAGACATGGACCCTCCACGTCTAGTCGGGAAGTACACATGGACTAATCACTATTTTTTATGTCCACACGGACGGAGTCGCGGGCGAAAGCTAGTAGAATATAAAGATAAAGATAGCTTTATTTCCCTTATGACGAAACACGAAATTCAAAATATTTACACGTATACAATACTAACAAAATGTAAAATAATCATCTTACAGAGGAAAAGACAATTTATCAGTGAGTAACACAGGCTATATCTTTTATTACTTTTTAATTTCACGCGGACGAAGTAGCGAGCAACAGCAAGTATTGTATATAACACAACAAATATTGCGCCTCAAGTGGAAATAGTACATAATATACCTAAATTGTATATAAATGTGATGTATAATAAAATAGACCTGTGCCTCAGTTTCCTTGTCCTTGTCGGTTTTGTCATTGGGCATGTCGATGATCTGCTCGTTGGTCTTCCTCAGGCCGGCGATCAGGCTCGTTTGTTGTTTCTATTCACACAAAAATGGACATTACTGACACAAATTTCCTATAATCAAACAAGGATATCTGGCCTGTTTAGAGACGTTGCAATCGGTTTTTTCAGAAAGTATGTAAAAGCTACAACAATAAATACAATACGAAAAATCTTGTGAAAATATTCCAACATTAGCGAATTGGCAGTGAGCTGTGATAACTTATTTTGATTTGACCCACCGGGTCAGATATCCTTGTCAGTCTATACATTCCAATTAAGCAAAGTGTTTTGTGTAATGAAAATGAAGAAATCAAAGAATCCAATAGTGGTAGTATAAATGCAATAGTAACGTTGGTGTTGGCGCGTATCTTCTTGAGGCAGCCCTCGAGCCAGGTGCGTATGGTCTGCTTGGCCACCTCCTCCTCTATCAGGAACTCGAACTCCTCGCGCGCCAGCAGCTCCTCCATCTGCAGCGCCTTGCGGATGTCCACCGTGCGGTACGACAGCATGCTGCGAACAAATTTCCCACTAAATTCCATATTGTTAGTGTTTCCATAAAAGTATCAAAGGGGTAGACTTTAAAAACAGTATTTACTAAATAAGAGTGTACTATTATTGAACCATATATTGTATATATTATTGAAATAGAAACACAATTTAGCGTTAGTTTTATCGTTTTATCCTAATTTCAAAATGTACAGTTACGGAAATTAGGGGTGTTCCACTTACAGAAAAAATGCCTTGTCCTTGCAACTAGACAAACCCGGACTCTTCTTTAAAATTACCAATCAGGGGTCAGTGAGTTACGAAAACGACGAGATAATAATATACTCTTGATCCACAGGTAAAACTTTTTTTCGTACAGACACATAAAAGCTACGATCTATTGACTAATGTTCCACGTCATCATTTCAATACGTTAAAATGTTCAAACACCTGTAGCTAAGTGGGAACACCGCAAGATTCTCCTATTGTACGTAAGAAACTTTATAATGCAGGCCGGATTAGTCTAGTATCA